ACAGTTTTAACGTGTGAAATGCAGTGTCTCTTAAATTCTGTAAGTGTTGCTAAACGTTTGATATGTCTGGGCATCGAATTGAAAACATTTATTCCTTTATAATATAATGAATTCTGTGAAGCACAAGTCAAGAAATGTGGTGTTCTTATTTCATCCGCGTTTCTAATATTATATCTATGATAGTCACTTCCTCTTTCAATTCGATCACACAAATATCGAGGCAGCAAATCGTAAACTACTTTAAAAATGAACACCATAGTCAAATATACAATTCTTTGCTTCACCGACAACCATTGTAAGGCGTCTAACATCAAAGTTGAGGAAGTGAATCTATTACATCTCAAAATCAAACGCATTATTTTATCTGCAAGCGCTGTAATCTCGATATTTGTGTTGCATTGGCCAGAAATAAAATGGAAGGGCAAAAGTCAAGATGAGGAGAGATGATTGATTTGTATAGCTGTATTTTACTGGCAATAGTTAAATCGTTTTTCAATCGACATAGAATTCCATACTTCTTGGCAATTTTCTTGATGACATTGTCATTGTGAGAGTTGAACTTAAGTTTGTCATCAATAATCACGCCAAGATATTTAATCTCCTGAACGCGATCAATAGTCTCATCATCAATTACAACAGAGACGTTCTCATTTAATCGATTCCGCGAAATTACCATAAATTTAGTTTTACTTGTATTCAATTTTAACTGCTTACACTTCAACCATCTACTTAGATACTGCAAATCTTCATTCAAGTGTGAGACGGCAACTTCTAAATCTTTAGCTGCAATGAATAACACAGTATCATCTGCAAAAAGGTTAATGTCGCAAAACCGTAAAACACGTCGAAAGTCATTAATATACATAATAAATAAAAGGGGCCCTAATACACTTCCCTGGGGCACTCCAAGGTTGTTCCCCACGGGACTGGAAACAGAATCATTAAAAACAGTCCGTTGAGTTCTGTCAGACAAATAGCTTTCAAACCATCTATATAAAGTACTCGTAATTCCAAAGCGCTTGATTGTACTTAACAGTAAGGGTCTAGAAATTGTTTCAAAAGCGCGTTTCAGATCCAAGAAAACAGCAACAATCGTATCTTTACGCTCCAAGTTGTCTTTCCACTTTGCTAACACCAAATTCAACGCAGTTTCACAAGAATGACCTTCCCGATATCCCGATTGTTCTGGTATCAACAAAGAGTTGCTATTCAAATAATCCAACAGCTGGCCTTTAACAACAAGTTATAAGATTTTCTCTAATGTGTGCAACAAGTTGATGGGACGAAACTCTTCGGCTTTAATCGTTCCAGCAACTTTTTGAATAGGAATAACTAAGGATTCCTTCCAAATTTGTGGTACATGTCCATTCTGCAATAATTTATTAATAAGGTCCAGAAAGATGTGGCCAATGACAAGAAAGCAATCTTGAATAACTCTAGCATTAACATTGTCTACTCCAGCCGATTTTCCTAATGAAAAACAAATAACTCTAAGTTCATCTAATATAATTGGGTGAAAAACTTCAAATCTGCAACTAATATTAACTGGCTGTTTTATTTCGTCAGGTTCATCGACCAATTCAATAGATTGATTAATCAATGAAACACTGTCTACGAAATAATCATTAAACTTAGCTGCAATTACTTGTTCTGACCAGGCATGGAAAATCATTTGCATTCATTTCATGCATTCATTTACATTCATTTGCCTCTAACTCTTTTCTTCAAAGGCATTCCGCAAAATGATCAATAAAACTTTTGTAGGTTTTCTCATTAGCTACAATTTTTGTTAACAAGTCAAATCCGTATCTCTTATGCATGACGAAGCAAAGTGAACAGAAGCCACTACTGTTTTTCAGTGAATGTATTTTACATTCACTGAAAAACAGTAACAAGTTCTGCCCGCTCTAGTTCGTGATGCATAAGAGATACAGATTTGAGTTATGACCAAAACTTGTAGTTAATAACAAACCCTACAAAAGCTCTATACACCATTTTGCGGAATGCTGTTGATGAAAAAGTTAGAGGCAAATGAATGTAAATGAATGTATGAAATGAATGCAAATGATTTTCCATGCCTGGTTCTGACTGTTCTAATGTGCCATTAAAAGTTATGGACCGCGGTTTGCAATTACTAGGTTTTAATAAAGATTTCAAAATTTTCCATAACTCTTTGCTGTTGTTTTGATGCTGATCAATCTTCCTTTGAACATATTCACAACGAGTTTTCTTTATCGATTGTGAATACTTATTACGCGCGATTGTGTACCTAGTCTAATGATTGTCATTATAAGATCTACAAAACTTTTTGTACCATTTGTCCCTTTCCTAGTACTTGGCACTGATGAAATCTGCAAGTAGTAGACGAAATATGCGTATCTGTCAACAGATAAGCAATTATAACGGAATTTAAAGGAAATAAACCAACACACTCAAAGCTCTTTATAATAACTACAAGTATTCTGGAACAAATCATCCTCTTCTCTTAATTCTTTACCTTTTTTTTGCATTTACTCAAAGGAGCTTCAATGCACTTCAATGATTTTTATTGCACATAGCTGGATCGAGCAGACGCCCCAATCTACTCGAAGGTTAAATTTTATCAGACGCAATCAGCTGTTACTTCTATTAAGAGAAGTACTTACCCATTTGGAGGTTTTTTTATTATAGTCATTTTAACGCTCTTGGGTTATTCGTGACTTGTCTGGGGTGAGATTTGAACTCGTGATTTTGGCGTGAGAGGTATGGATTCGATCCACAACGCCGGGGTCGCCCCCACACACGCTGAATTAATGCTGGGCCGAAAATCATTGAAATATCCTTTTATTTGAGTTATTTATGGTCAACTTGCAGAAATGCAACATCAAGCATTGAACAACCACAAGTTCGCAACTCTATTTAAAATTTGAAATGAACAACGATCCTTAAACTACACCGAGTAATTAAGTTGTTTTGAATTAGTGAAGTCAGTCATACTTATTAATAAACATTTTCCTGAATTAGAATGTAATTTGCAGAGATTCCATGATTTTCCAGGTCTAAAAATGAATTCCCTGATGTTCCAGATTTTCCCATATAGTCGACACCCTGTACATGTTCGAGCCAATTTTTTACTATACTGGTGTTATACCATTTAGATTTAGAGTTTTCCACTTCAATCATCTCAAGGTGTGTGATCTGCGGTTTTCGCTTCTGCGTCTTGTTTGTTTGGATGCGTTACTCACAGAGATTGGGCGATAATTAATATTGATTTTATCTTATTGGGCATGGTATTAGTATTCCTTTCTTATGGCTGAACTGAATATGTTGCATAGTGATGGGCGACAATGGTTAATTAATTGTTTTGTTTTGAAGAGCCGCTAAATGAGCCAATATAGTAAGTAAAGTTAAACTGATTGATTTCTTCTTACACAGCAAGAAAATGTGGACTTGTGGTGCTGTTGAGGAATTTACTGAATTGTATAATTCTATACATGATATCGGTGTTACAGAATGTATGGATGGTTACGATGATTCAAGATAACCACCAGGTCTGTGTCAACGGATACCATCACCTACTGTTTTAAGATTGTGGCTTGTGGCGCCGTTTGTATCTGCTTTTCTGTGTATCAAGCAGTGGTGGGAGGAACATTTTCACTTTGCTAAATTCCCATGAGTAGCATGAGGAATTGAATCCACCAATAAGGATCTTCAGCTGACGAAAATGAAATTGCCCGGAACTAAACTTAAAGGAAAAGTTTAGCACTAAACTCTTCTGGGATTCTCCGGAATTTCTATTTTAATACACTGCATTTTAGCTCAAGAACGGATAATGTCCTTACCCCAACATCATTGGCTCATAAACTGAAATTCATCGCAACATTAGGAATTTGACTTCCTTCTCATTCTTCACAAATTATGTGAAAACAGAAGTAGTATTCAAAAGCACAAGGAACGTCGCCACGAAGCTCTTATCCCAGGAGGAACAGAAACGTCATGATGTAAGGGTTATGATTGTCCCTACTTTAATCATAATTGACCACAATTCAAAGCATTTCAAAGCAATGCTTCACATATCTCCACCCACCCCAACTTATCGCTCTAGCATTTCTCATAAGAGCGATGAAAACAGAAAACAATCATATTGGCAACAACCTCACTTGATATCTAAGTAGACAAGCGGTCAATATTCACTTTATTTGGAATCTGAAGAACCCTCGATAACGGTGGTGAGCGGGCGTTCGCCCCCTCACTGATAACCAATATTGATATCGATACCGGCAGTGATAGCGTCGTGTTCGGGGAATAAAAGCCGATACCGACCTATACAAATCCCAACACATTCTCACATAACGCAAATTTCCAGAACCATGTGATTGTGCTATGACTATGTCGTTGTGGCATTTTTTTTTCCTCCAAATTCCAACGCTTGCGCGCACCGTACCGATACTAATGGTTGTTCCGGCAGACTCCTGTCACCCAGCCACCGACCGATCAACAGCAGGCAGCTGATAGTTGTGCCTACATAGTCGTTCGTATTTTAGTCTTCTACACAGTGCGAACAACATTCGCCAGTCGGCCCTTCCTCTCTGGGAGTGATGTGTTATCTATAATAGTTTTCCGTTTTTTTGGTTATCGGCTAGTTTTTTTTTTTCAAGCAATATGTAATCTGTTATTTTCAGTCTTTCTGATGTTGAATTATCTAGCCAAAGTAAACATGTTGTGTTGTGTAGATCAAAGTTACCGATGATTTGTGTGAGTGCGAAAAGATTCCAATCTAGTCACGTATGAGAATATTTAGAATGGCGGCCGAAGGTGAATCAAAGGCGTCTGAGACTGCTGCAGCGCCCAAAACCTCCCCCTCCAAGGACGTTGGTGGTGTTCAAAAAGGATGGCGTAATGATAATTGCTATATCTATTAAATCTATTTGATATCACTCCATCAATCGATACACGAAAAGCTGCAAACTCATCAATAACCTGCGTCTGATGTTATCTTGTTTGTGTTTGTTCCGTTGCAGAGGAAATGCTGGAAACGGAAAAAGCCAGTCTGGTGGAACGCGTCAACGATCTGGAGCGGATAGTGCTGGAACAGAAGGATGAAATCGTCTGTCTTAAATCCACCCTGGCCGACGTGCTGCGACGGTTGAGTACAATCGACAACAGCTATGATAACGCTAAAAATACCGAAGGAAGCTCACACAGCGGTTCCGTGATGTCCAGCAAGAGTTTTCGGTTTTCGCGGAATACCATAACTAGACGTATGGCAACACCGGAAGGTTTTAGTATCTCAACCACTCACCTACTAAACCATGTCATTCCATTTCAGTAAACTCCAGCGTGGACGAGAAACGCTTCGGTCGAGTTCCGTCCCGGGTGACGAGTTCCCCGTCGCGGAACATGTCCACCGCAAAGGCCAGCAGTCTAGCGCAGAAGGCGATTCACCACTCCAACGGTTCTCTGCATTCCGATTCGATGAGCAGCCATTCGATATCTCCGGCCCCGTCGCCATCACCCAAACAGCCAAATATGCAAAATTTGACCGCCTCGGCCGTCGGGATCGGCGGGGTGGGTAGTGGTGGCATGGGAAAACGGTGGAGTTCAACCGGGGACTTTGTGAGCGGATCACCGGGTCCGTCGGTCAGCAGTACCGGGTGAGTACGGAATATAATATAAATCATGGCGGTGCAAATGAGGTGGTAATTGATGAGCTTGGGGATGAAGTCAGTCTCTTGCGCAATTCTCGCAGGTTGTTTGAATAAGCTGACGTTTGTGTCTGCATATTTTTATTCATATACATTTGCTTCCCCGTAAAATCTGTTTCACCAGTAGGAGAGATTCTGTTTTAAAGGCATTATTTTTGCATGACAGCATCATGCGTCTCATGCGATTTAGTTTTCGTGGAACTACCAACTAAATTATTTTATTCATAATCAACGTTATTAACTTGGGCAAATTTATCGAAAATTGACCATGTCCATGGTAATATACTAAACATCGACCACAAGGATGTTATTTTCGTTTTTGTTAAAAATTTGCGAGCAACATTGTATCGCAGTCAGATAACGACTGTGTAGCAGAAAGATAACGATTGTAGGAGAAATTTAAGAAACTTTAAAAAACGGCATAAATTCTTTGTGATTGGTTCTAACATGGATTAACTTTTGGTACAGATTACATTGTCAAGAATATGATTGATAAATTTAGATGACGACATCAAAGCAGTCCAATAATCACGATCCAAATTTAATCCGGCTTGAGCTCACCACCATAAATAGACCAAAAGCATTTTCATTCCATATCGTTCAGTTTCCTTTTCCCTTTATTTAACGTCGGTCTCTGTATTGCAATCGAGTGCCAATCACCGACGAGCGTCGATAGCCATTTGGTAAATATTAGGGTGTCCCAAAACAAATTTAATCGAAAATTTTACTTGCTCCCTGCTAGAATTATAGAATAGGCTCTTAGGAATCATAATTTTAAAAACAATTAATTAATAAATGTTAAAAGGTTGCATGCTTCATTTTTTCTGAAAAAAAAAAATTCAGGACAATTTCTAAAAAAAATGTGTTCAAATGGGAGGACAACATTTGAAATAAAGTTACTCAATACCATATGATCATAGGATTGTAGTTTGAGGATGCAAAGACAAAGTTCGGTGTTGATTTATAACGAGAAACCTGATTTCTTTATTTAAGAAATAGTTTCTTGGCCGAAAATCAATGTTTTTAATTAAAATTGCTTAACTTGTCTACAAAAGGGGACACGCTATTTTTTGTTTTGAAAGTAGACTATTTGAGCAAATTTAGCAATTTTATATACATTAATTTTGCCGGAGGAAGATTTTAACTTTTTGCTTACTGGACCGAGATATATGCATTTTAGTGAATTGATTTCTAGGAAATATTAATTTAATTCAAGAATTTCGATCAATTCTATAGCAAATAAGCAAATAAACTAGCTCAATTCCCTTCGATTTCTATGGAACTTTTCACTTTGGTATCACAGATTTGCTATGGCAACATATTATGTTAGTAACAAACATGTGTAACCAAGGAGGGAACTGCAAAATCATGAATGAACTGGCAATGTTTCAAACGAAGTTATATCTATAGTTCTTGGAGTCAAACATTTGTTTTACTAAGGTCGATTTATCGCTTTATTGCTAAGCCTAAGATAACAAAACAATCAGTGCCAACATTTCATTGGGGCGAAACTGCTGTTGTAAACAATGACTTTGACCGCACAAATTACTCGCAAATAAGAGCTCATGATCAAACTAGTAAAACTCAATTTTTCATTCCATTTCCAGCAACAGTATGTCACGCTTCTCCACCAAATCCCTCCTGAATCTGAACAGTGGCCTCAGCGGCAACGGTTCCAAGCAGACCGGTTCCCATGCGTACGTCCAACGGAGGGACGACGATGACTACCTTAAGCTATATATCAGTGGCCGTCCAATAGTGCTACACATTCCAGAAGCTCAAATTAGTACGTACGAAACGACCAAGGTCCAACCGGCCCCGAACAAACGCCTCCGTCTGGACTGGGTCTACGGGTATCGGGGTAAGGACTGTCGGTCGAACCTGCACCAACTTCCGACTGGGGAGATGGTATATTTTGTCGCTGCCGTGGTCATCCTGTACAACATGGACGAACAATCGCAGCGGCACTACGTTGGCCATACAGACGATGTCAAAAGTTTAGCCGTGCATCCCAATAAGCTACTGGTGGCGACGGGGCAGTGCGGTGGCCATGACGGAAGGGACACACTTCCACATGTGAGAGTGTGGAACTCGGTATCGCTGGCAACGTTGAACGTCATCGGATTGGGAGACTTTACGGGGGCGATCAACTGTCTGTCCTTTAGTCGAGCCGATAGCGGAACGATTCTAGCAGCAATCGACGACTCTCCGGACAAGATCATATCAATCTGGGACTGGCAGAAGAAGGAAAATGGAAGGAAGATCACCGAGACCAAGTGCTCAGTGGATACGATCGTCGCAGTGGAATTCCATCCACTGGACAAAGGTCAGATCATTACGATTGGGAAGAATCATATCGCATTTTGGTCGTTGGATCAAAATGGAATGCTTTACAAGCGAATGGGAGTGTTTGAGAACCGAGAGAAGCCTAAATACGTGACAGCGATAACGTTTACTCCGGCGGGAGATGTGGTCACGGGAGACTCGAATGGAAATATATCAATCTGGCCTCGGGGAACAAACGTGATCAGTCGATTCTTGAAGAAGGTCCACGAAGGATCGATCTTTTCAATATGTGCCTTACGGAACGGCGGGTTCGTTTCCGGTGGCAAAGATGGTCGACTGGTTCTGATGGATGATTCAATGCGACTGAAGTCGGAACAACTGGTCGAAGCCCATTTCGGTGCGGTTCGGGTAGCAACGCAGGGCAAGGGATCGCAACTGCTCATAGGAACGACAAAGAACTGCATTCTATCGGGTGACTTTACACTCGGATTGGTGCCGATCGTGATGGGTCATACGGATCTGCTGTGGTCACTGTCGTCGCATCCTCAGGTGGCACAGTTTGTAACCGGTGGACGCGATCGGTTACTTCAGTTGTGGGATTCTCTTTCGCATTCCGTCGTCTGGAGTAAGGACATTGGTGAACCGATCCAAACGGTACAGTTTTCCAACACGGGAGACACCATCATCGTTGGAGGTGTTGGTGGTCGATGGATGGTTTTCGATACCGTCACCAGGGAACTGTTGGCTGTTTATCAGGATGGACAGGACGTTATCCAAACGATGAAGTTCTCTCCAGACAGCAATCTGCTAGCTCTCGGTTCGAAGGATGGTGGTATCTACATCTATCAATGCACCAAGGTACCTCATCGATTCTCCAAGATCGGAAAATGTTCTGTAAGTAATAGCAGCTTCAAACTTTCTCAACGTTATCTAACCATATGTTCGCTTCTTACTAGGGTCACTCGAGTTATGTATCCCACATGGATTGGTCCAAGGATAGTACAGTGCTGAGAACAAATTCCGGGGACTACGAACTACTCTACTGTAAGTTTAGGTTCTTGGAATAAAATTCATAAACAAATACAATTTACAATCGTTCCTACAGGGAATCCAACTCTCTGCCGCCAAATAACATCCCACAGCACAGTCAAGAACCTCGAATGGGCTACCCAGTCCTGTACGGTGTGCTTTGAAACGGTCGGTATCTGGCCGGAGAACTTTGATGGAACAGACATCAACAGCGTTTGCAAAGACGGGGAAGAGCAATTTCTGGTCACAGCCGACGATACGGGCAAGGTCCGGCTGTTCAGCTATCCGGCCTCGCAACCAAAGGTAACGTGAATGAGTGTTTCAATTTGTGATAAATCTAATTGAATGATCTAATTTCCCAGTCACTGTCGCATGCCTACCGAGGTCACAGTAGTCACGTAACGGCCGTAAAATTCATGCATGATGGCGTCCGGCTTCTGTCGTCTGGTGGATTGGACACAAGTGTACTTCAGTGGCGCGTGGTTTAAGCCATGTAATGTAGTGCAGGTTCGAGTGAACCACAAAACAAAAAACGATGACAACAACACGAACACAAATAATGCAGTACTAATTGTTACATTAGTATTTAAATTACACACGCCTCTTTATTTATTAGCTCTATACTCTTTCCGATTCAGCGAATGAACAAAATACAAGTAAAAATACACCCTCCCCATTACTAAGTGATACAAACAACAGTTGTTTCAAATTATTCTAACAATGCGCATTTTAGAGCAGGAAATAAATTATTGAACTTTTTTATTCGACGGTAATAAACAGTTGTCTGGGACAATTTATTGGAAAGAACATTTCCTTTGCAATTGAAGAAAAGTTGTAAGTTTAAGAACCCCCGCCCCCTGTTTGAACTGTTTTTTTTTCAGTTGGAGAGCCATTCCTACATCCCTGGACAGTCATTAACACCTCTCCTTCAAATTTGTTTACTATGATGGGTATACGAAGTGTTTGCGGCTACATAAACAAGCTGTTGAGCTGGGATCAATGAAGAATTATGCAATGCTGTAGAGTAAAGTAGGGCAAGAGTACGCACTTAGTTTTAAAATTCATGTATCTTTTTCCCTGTAACATATAATTTTAGTTTATAACATTGAGTCGATTCTTTGACTATTTGGCCAGAATCAATTATGGATAGCTATTCCAAAAATCATGACATGAAAATCAATTCTTCAATTGTTGATTAAGTAACTATGTTCAAGACGGATACCTAACAATCCCATTCGAAGATCTGCAGGTAAATCATCTTGGACCATTTGAACGAGGCAAAGAAAAGAATGAGCACATACTTGCAGTGAAGTGCACTAGGTATTACCATTATTCTTTTTCTTCGCATTTCAAGTTTATTGCTTATCACATATTACGTTTGCGTGCTCTCAACATAGGGTTCTAGATGCACTTTCACAGTTATTAATTGAGAGCTTTCGATGCATGTACTATTTTTGCATAAGTATTAATTGTACAATCATACTCTATGCCCAGGAAAGGCGAACAATTTTCCAACCCGAAGAATTCCTAGACCGGACCGGGAAGCGAACCCAGCCACCTCCAGCATGGTCTTGCTTTGTAGCTGCGGCTTTACCGACTGAGCTAAGACACAAAGACTATCAAACCGGCTGAAAGTGATGAAATGAGTTATTGCCACGCTTATTAGACACCAAAGGTCTTGACATTCGATACAGTATCGATTCTCAAGGATGCCCCTCCGTAAGATAAAGCTCACTCTTCATCGCTTCATTCTATGTCCTTTTTTTTGAGTGGGAGTACGCGTACCCCAGGTTGAGAATCGATGCGATAGAGGGACAGCTTTCACCTCAAATGCCTCTGATAAGTTCGTGGCATACGACATATCAAAGTAACTACCGCGATTCCGAAGGCCAACGAACAGGTTGAGATATACTATATGATGCCGCTGATAAGAAAACTGGTAGAGGCATCTGCTATTCGTTTGAATATTCTTCTTAAACGACGAAACTGCTGGTTTTTCTAGACTTTTAACGCTTTTTTTACGAGTGTGTTGCCGGCTCTCAATATAGTGTTCTAGATGCACTTCCACAATTATTAATTGAGTGCTTTCCATGCCAACCAATGTATGCATTTGTACATTGTGTGGCAAGGACAATGATACTCATATATGCCCAGGGAAATCAAGAAAATTTCCATCCCGAAAGATTTGTTTGACCGGACCGGGAATCGAACCCGCCGCCTCCGGCTTGGTAATACTGTGCCTTTACCGTTAAGGCTATCTGTAGGTTGTGCTACATTACCTTGAATGTCATTTCCCCGAACGTCATCACCCCGAATGAAGTTCTGTCTTCTTTTGATTGCAGCTCGTTCTTTTCACATGGAATTCGGGGAAGTGACATTCGGGGTAATGTAGCACAATCATACTTATCAGTTGGTTCGTGTCTGATCTATTCTGGACATTTGATTTTTATCTAGATAAAAAAAAAGTCCTATGGGTTTCGCAGATCGTTTGAATCGGCCGTTATAGATTTTCGAGCAAAAGTTAAGTTTAAGGTTCATCACGGACAAACAGACGTAAGTCTATATGTAAATTATTATCACGGAAGTTACTAACGACATCTCACGACCTATTCGCGAAAAAAATTAGGATTGTCAAGTCTCGAACAACGTTGCATACAAATTCGATAGAATGTATAGAAACGTCAAATTGATCCGATTCCAGCGTTGTGGTGGGAGATTCGCGCAACTAATAATATGTATTTAAATTGAACTTTAAATCACAGACAAACAGACGTAGCTTTTTCTCCTCAGTCGTCGTACACATTTAACGGGCAATTTAAATATTATTAGTTGCGCGGGACCTCCCTTAGCTCAGTCGCAAAGGCGCAACTACAAAGCAAGACCATGCTGTAGATGGCTAGGATTCCCGGTCCGGTCTAGGAATTCTTCGGGTTGGAAAATTTCTCAACTTCCTGGGCATAGAGTATGGATGGAAACTAACGTTTTTAAATTGGCTCACTACTTGACTAGCCTCTTGGTCCCAAGCAAATCGATTAACGTACACCATTCTAGTCAAAATTCTAGTACTACACAATGTTTGTTTTGATTCCCTATGAAAGTTTGACAGATAAAATGAAGGGTTAGTGGATTTTCCTATGTTTCGAGGGGTGAATCGATTAGCTTGGGACCGAAGATAGTACCAGAGCTGAGCCAAAAAGTTGAGCACATTATTTCGGGACCTATTAGTCTTAGAGTTACCTCTATGGTATGATTGTACTTGCCACACAATTTCCTCTTAGGTCGACACAAGCAGCTCTATGTTTTTTTTTTCAGTGCGTGTCTTGCGGTAGCCGGTTTTTGATAGCAACTCATTGTTTGAAGTTCGTTCGCTTTTGCCGTTGTCCCGTTGGAAGCAAAGAACTGGAGATGTCCGTTGAAATAAAGCAGACAATTGGGTTCAGCTTCGCACATGCGGAGGAAAAATCTATGTTTATCAAGTTCAAATCAGAAGATTCCATGCTTCATTGCTTGTTGAACAACCATGAACAATTAACTTTTCATTATGGCGATGGGAAGCCAATCGAGGTACGCATGTCACCTGCGGGGGCACCGTTCAATATGTGAGAGTGTTCGACCTCTCACCAGAAGTCCCGGATAGCGATCTAGCATCGGTGCTAGGGAAATACGCTGATGTGAAGCGTATAGTTCGGGAGCAATTTCCAGCTGCCTTGGGCCTCAATATGCACACAGGATGGAGTTACAAAAACAAGATACCCAAGTCGCTGAATTTCCTCAATCGAAAGGGGAACATATTCTATCAAGGGAACAAAAATGTGTGTTTCCTTTGTAAGACGGAGCGGCATTGGATGAATTCCTGCCCCAAGCGGAAGGATCGGAAGCAGCCAGTACAACAACGAACGGAAGAAGAAAACCAGCAACGGAATGAGGAAGAGACTAGTACGTACGCTGGTGTAGTGACTGGATGTGCATCGCCAAACGAGGAAGTGGTGGAGGTCCTGGAAGAAGAGGTTGTGGTGATGGATGTGACGTCCCCGGACGCCGAAAAGAATAGTGAAGAGAAGGCAAGCTCTGCTGAAAAACAGCAGCCGCCTGTTTTCAAGTGTGATGCGTATTATCACAGACAAACAGACGTAATTCTTTGAAGGACTGTTGTAACGACATCTCGCGGGCTTCTCGCGGAAAACAAGCTTGCTCGCTGATCCACAAACAATGTTGCATGCAAGAAAAACCGAATATATAGAAACGTCAAAGTGATCCGATGCCAGCGCTGCGGCGTGCAGTTCGTTAAAAACAAATCACTATGAATGATGATTTCTGGATTGAATTTTCCAAGTGGAAAGATCATGTACATAGATAATTTTACATGCGCCTAAGACTTATAGTCTCGACCATAAAAAAAAACTTGAAAGATTCCGGGATTAATTTTAGAGATTTTTTTTTAAATTCTTTAGGTGAATTAAAATTCGAGATAACTAAGATAAATAAATTTAAAAAATAGGCTGCCTGGAATAATGTTTGATATTTTAAAGACCTGATATAGAATAATGTAATATAAACAGTGGCGTCGCGTCCACATGTGCAACCTGTGTACGACACAGGTGTAAATAATTTAAAAATAATGCTTTTAGATTTTTATAGATTTTATGGCCACATTATAGCCGTACTTCTTTACTCCAGACCACAAATGACCATAAATATACTATTTTATAGTGTGGCTCAATTAAATCGACCTTGGTTTGCTTCAAAAAGGATTAAATTCAGTTCGGATGATCTGCCTAATCCCCAATCCATTGATTACTAAGCATGTCGATATCACTACCATGACAAAACTCGTTAAATAGTGCACCTAAAGCGAGTTTTTTGTGGGTGGTGGGTGGCATGTTTGATTTGGTCAAATGTCTGATGTAAGCCAAGCAGACCTTCTATCAGCTCTTGAAACATACCACAAATTTTCCACAATACATGGCGGTTTGCACCACTAGTTGTAATTGAAACTTTCAGCATTCACGCGTCAAACTGGAGCAACACGGAAACAGCAGTCCTGTACGCTTTGGACGTGTATCATACTTGCAGACCGGTATGAATGTGTGAGTTTAAATTAGAAGAACATTTGTGATGTATGGGTGCCTAAAGCGTGCATTTCTCGTCATGCACTTGGATATCTGATTGCACTGCAGGCAAAGAGAGTAATGTAGAGAGCGCAAAAGCTCGCACGCACTCTCTTGTCAGATCAGACAAATCTCTCAATTACCAATAGTTGCGCCTGTCAAAACTTATGAGTTTCCCCTGTTTCATTCTGATAGTATTGTTCTGATGAAAAAAGAATTGATTAATAATTCAATAATCAAGTTTGCTACCCAGAGGACTTCATGAATTTTCTCTAAATTTTGACACTGTTTTGTATTCTTTATTACACTTCAGTCGAAAGTCCTTGGCCTTGTGATAAAAACGAGAATTAGTTAAGTTTTCACACTAAGATTATTTAACCGAAATCTGTGAAATTTTACCGAAATCTCAGCAGCCGAACGTTCGGTAAACAGTTCGGTAATTTTTCACAGATTTCCTGTAATTTTTCACCGAATATCTGTGAAAAATCACCGGACTGTTTACCGAACGTTCAGCTGTTGAGATTTCGGTAAAATTTCACAGATTACGGTGTGTTGCAATTCCTCCTGCTTCGGTTAGTGCGAAAAGGACCATACAAGTTTTGTTTACACAAGACGATAGGCCCTTCAAAGTTTACGTAAGGTAGTGATTAATTTAGTAATTGAGAATAT